ATAAGACATGTCCCTTCTGCTCACTTTGTGTTGTTAATAGCTGTCAGAGGTGTGGGAGAGGATTTATGGAGCCAGTTCCAGGTTGCCCCCCACCCGCCCCACTTAGAATGGATATCCCCGTCTGATAGTGTAACTTGTAAGTACAGCTGTAAATGTATATAATGCAAATAATAGATATGTGTGTGTGATGTAAATAGAGTTTTGAAACTGAACATCAGCCTTGTCACACACTTATATAGGGTGAGTAGATGTAAACAGACACTATATCCCGGTGTTCTGTACCGTGAAACAAATCTGTAAGCTCACACCATTGGATCCTACTTACAGCAAGTAATATTCACCCCTGTTTGGGGTAGCAGAAATGTTAAGTTTATCTCTTTCAGTGGTGGTGTAATTTATCTTTGTTCGCAGGGCTAGAGATCAGGCGGCATAAGAAAAAGAAAATGGGTTTGGGGACTAAAAACTGGGATTAAATCCCAATCCTGTCAGCTATAATAGCTATGAAATTAGACAAGTGATTTAATCTCTCTGTGACTATTTGTAAATTGTATAAAACTGGAATAGCAGTATTCTTATATATTGTCACCATTAAACAAACTACTTTTTGTAAAGCTTGTTCCTGAAATGTTTTACAAAGAGTAGGCACTCAAAAAATTTTAGCTCTCTTCACATTATTGAAATAGCCCAGGCTGGGCGTGGTGGCTCATGCCTGTAATCCTAGCACTCTGGGAGGCCGAGGCAGGCCGATTGCTCAAGGTCAGGAGTTCGAAACCAGCCTGAGCAAGAGCGAGACCCCGTCTCTACTATAAATAAAAAGAAATTAATTGGCTAACCAATATATATAGAAAAAGATTAGCCGGGCATGGTGGCACATGCCTGTAGTCCCAGCTACTTGGGAGGCTGAGGCAGCAGGATTGCTCAAGCCCAGGAGTTTGAGGTTGCTGTGAGCTAGGCTGACACCATGGCACTCACTCTAGCCTGGGCAACAAAGTGAGACTCTGTCTCAAAAAAAAAAAAGAGCCCAGAACAATGAAACTTTCCCCCAAAGAACATGCACATGAATATGGGCTTATGTTTACACACACACACACACAATAGAAATAGGCTTCCATATATATTCACTTTGGTCCCTTCTAAAAGCATCTGTCTTCTGAAGATCCAGTAAAATCTGTCATTCTAGAGGTTTATCAGAACTAGATCAATCGAGTTACCAAAGAAGATAATGAAGTAGAAAACTTGCAAACCATGTAAATTACATGGGAGTTTACTACTTTTTAAGATTTTTTGTATTTTAATTATTTATTTCTATGTATATGCATGTTTATAAAATCCAGAATATTTTTAATGTTATTGTATATAGTCAGTATTCATTTGATTTACCACACATCTACCATTTCATTGTTCTTTACTCCCAGCACCCACAAACTTCTTTCTTGATTCATTCTTTACCTAAAGAATGCTCTTCAGTATTTTCTGTCATGCAGATCTGTTGGTGGTGAATTCTCTTAATTACTGTTTGTCTGAGCATGTCTTTATTTTGCCTTCATTCTTGAAGGATCTTTTTGCTCCATAGAGAATTCTTGATTGGCAATTCTTTTTCTTTAGCACTTTAAAGATAATCCATTGTCTTTTGGCTTCCATTTTTTGTGATGAGTGAGTTTAATTAAACTGTGAATTTAATTGTTGCTTATTTGAAAGTAATGTATATTTTGTTCTAGAGGTTTTTAAGGTATTTTCTCCAGCCTTTGGCTTATAGCAGTTTAACTATGCCCTGCCTAGGTGAGGGTTTCTTTTTATCTTTCCTGCCCGGGGTTAGGCCTTCTTGAATCCATAACTTATGCCTCTCATCAGTTGGGAAAAATTCTTAGCCATTACCTCCTCAAGTGTTACTACTTCTGCCCCATTATCTCACACTCTTCCTCCTCCAAATTATGTATCTGTTCCAGGAGTCCTCAAACTTCTTAAACAGGGGGCCAGTTCACCATCCCTCAGACGGTTGGAGGGCCGTTGGAGAGTGCGGTGCACATTCCACACATGCGCACTGTGGACCCAGGATGAGTCGGCTGCTAAGCAGGACAGGCAGTGGGCAGCAAAAACACCCGGCGGGCCAGATAAATGTCCTCAACGGGCCACATGTGGCCCACGGGCCGTAGTAATTAGACCTTCTCTAATTACTGAGGACCCCCGTAATTAGACCTTCTCAATGTATCTTCTTTGTCTCTTACCTTCTCTTCTGTATTAGTCATCTTTTTTCAGCTCTATGTTCATTTTTGCATAGCTTCTTCTAAAGCTCTAATTAGAGAATCCAGTTCACTAATTCTCCCTTAAACCATGTCTATATCTGATAACTGTATAGCAGAAGCCCCTGTTGGTCTGTTTTTAATATCTATTGTTTTTTGATAGTTTTTATTCATGTTAAATGCCACTCTCCATTTTTAAATGCCTCATGCCACTCTCCACTTTTAAATGGAATGCTAGTCTTTTATTTGCAAAATTGTGGAAATAATTCCAGACCTTAATCCAGTTTTAGGGACGAAGATGACTCAAATGCGAGCTTCAGTCCTAGAAAGGCCTGTCTGCTTCTGGTTCACGCTTACCTATAAGGCACAGTGCCAATGCTTTGGGGTCATAGCCCAGAATATGGGGTTCGCTGGAGAGCACCATCCCGTGGTGTAACCTGAACTCCATTTCCTCTGCCCCATGCTCTTAAGACTATCAAAAGTGCACTTGGGGCCGGGCTCGGTGGCTCACACCTGTAATCCTAGCACTCTGGGAGGCCGAGGCAGGAGGATCGCTCAAGGTCAGCAGTTTGAGACCAGCCTGAGCAAGTGCGAGACCCCGTCTCTACTAAAAATAGAAAGAAATTAATTGGCCAACTAAAAATATATACAAAAAATTAGCCGGGCATTGTGGCATATGCCTGTAGTCCCAGCTACTTGGGAGGCTGAAGAAGGATTGCTTGAGCTTAGGAGTTTGAGGTTGCTGTGAGCTAGGCTGACGCCACGGCACTCTAGTCTGGGCAACAGAGTGAGACTCTGTCTCAAAAAAAATAAAAAGTGCACTTGGGAGGGGTGGGCGAGGGGAAAATATCACACTTGATTTTACAACTGCTCTGCTTTAGAATGTTCTAGTACCCTCAGGAGACAATAGGCCCCAAACACCAGGTTCAAATCTCTGGGCCATCATCCTTTCCTGATCTGACCCAGTTATCATTTACTATCTTACTCTCTGTCCGATGCCATAAGAAAAAAAAATTATTAACATTTTGTCCAGGGTTTCTTAAATTTTATTTGTTTATATTTTTTTGTTCAGAGTTTTTAGTTGTCCTCAGCACCAGAGTTGGTCCAAACTGCGTCATCTCCTACATCTAGAAGGCCCATTGAAAATGGACTTTTTAAACGACTTCATTGTTTTCTTCTTTTCTATATAAAGTTGAAGAAATTTGATTCCCATGAGAATTAAACTGTAAAAACTTCTCATGCATTTCAGCCTAATTTAATGGCAGTGGTAAGACTTTGGCTGGACAGTTTGCAGATCCCTGAACACACCATCTCCTTGCCTTTGTCCGCATATCCCTACTTGAGGAATATCTTTTCCTTGCAACCACATCTGCACTCTACCCCCATTATTTTTTAAACCTCAGCACAGCGAAACCTCATGCAGGAAGACTGACTTACTCCCTTCTTCTCAAAAATGCCCTCCAGGCCGGGCGCTGTGGCTCACGCCTGTAATCCTAGCTCTTGGGAGGCCGAGGCGGGCGGATTGCTCAAGGTCAGGAGTTCGAAACCAGCCTGAGCAAGAGCGAGACCCCGTCTCTACTATAAATAGAAATTAATTGGCCAACTGATATATATATAAAAAAATTAGCCGGGCATGGTGGCGCATGCCTGTAGTCCCAGCTACTCGGGAGGCTGAGGCAGAAGGATCACTGGAGCCCAGGAGTTTGAGGTTGCTGTGAGCTAGGCTGACGCCACGGCACTCACTCTAGCCTGGGCAACAGAGCGAGACTCTGTCTCAAAAAAAAAAAAAAAAAAATGCCCTCCAATAACTTTATGGGGTGCAAAGCTCCATGACCCCACCTGCCACAGTGGTTGGCGGTTCTTGTTCATGGGCCTCTTTTGTCTACTTGATTGTGAACTCCTTTGCACTATCTTTTCAGTTGAATCCCTTATCCTTGCCGGGTGACACATGGTGGCATGAAGAAGACGGCAGCTATTGAGAGAGTATACAGGCTTCACCTGCTTTCATAATTTGCAGAGACCACCCTGAATACCTGGGCTTGGACCAAGCACTGGTGCTATCTGTGTCTTGTTCACCTTTCCCCAGTAGTGTCCTACCCTTGGGCATCTTCAAGTCCTGCCCAAACTTCAGGGCCCAGGGAAAGCCTTCCCTGGTTCCTCTAGCCCATTGGTTACACTCCCTCTAAATTCCTAGAATACACATTCATTTATCCAATAAACATTTATTAAGCTCCAACCATATGCCACATACCCTTTTAGAGACTTGGGATACAGTGATAAACACATGCCTGCCTCGTGGAACTTACATACAGTCTCTCTCTGGTCCGCATTTTGTCCTGTCAAACGTGATCACAGCAGTTTGTTGTGCAGTGAGCTGGTAAAATGCAGGACCATAGTGACAGCTTCAGAGTCACCGCAGAGCAGAGCCTAGCTTCAGTGCTGAACGCTAAGTAAGTGTTTTGTCATTGCTGGGGGTTGGCGGACTTGTTCTCGCAGAGACAGTAGAGCTGATATTCAGAATATTTTGAATACTGAATGGACTTTTACACTGGAAAGTTCCTTGGCTGGCTTCTGCCCAGCATCTATATATGGTAAGTACAGGAAGGACAGAAAGTTAAGAGCTTCATTTGTCATGTGTTGGAGCGAGGAAGGGGGAGGTCGTTCAGCTTGTGTGTGTGTGTGTGTAAAAGAAAACAAGAATAAAATGTTTTCAATTGTTTCCTTCCTTTTGCCTCTCTCTGTCTCTCACTGTTTCCGCAGGTCAGCGTTGAAGTTTTGGTAGAGTATCCTTTTTTCGTGTTTGGACAGGGCTGGTCATCGTGCTGTCCAGAGAGAACCAGCCAGCTCTTTGACTTGCCGTGTTCCAAACTCTCAGTGGGGGACGTCTGCATCTCGCTGACCCTCAAGAACCTGAAGAACGGCTCTGTTAAGAAGGGCCAGCCCGCGGATCCGGCCAGCGTCCTGCTGAAGCACTCAAAGACCGACAGCCTGGCGGGCAGCAGACACAGGTACGCCGAGCAGGAAAACGGAATTAACCAGGGAAGTGCCCAGATGCTCTCCGAGAATGGTGAACTGAAGTTTCCAGAAAAAATAGGATTGCCTGCAGCGCCCTTCCTCACCAAAATAGAACCCAGCAAGCCCGCGGCCACGAGGAAGAGGAGGTGGTCGGCGCCGGAGACCCGCAAACTGGAGAAGTCAGAAGACGAACCACCTTTGACTCTTCCCAAGCCTTCTCTAATTCCTCAGGAGGTTAAGATTTGCATTGAAGGCCGGTCTAACGTAGGCAAGTAGAGGCAGTGTGGGGAAAGGAAGGAACCGTGGCTCTCCCTTACCCCGTTGTATCCAGATTACTGTACTGTAGGCTAAATAACACAGTATTTACATGTTATCCTTATTTTAGGTTTCTGTTCTAACCTTGTCATTAGAGTTACAGCAGGTGTGTCGCAGGAGATTGGTGCATATGCTTTTTCCACGAGTGGCTGTCAGCAAGGGTGGGTGCAGGGCCAGAGCAGGGGCAGTCCGGGCTTCAGGCAGGCGACCCGGGAAGGAAGGCATGTGGCCTCCTGGCGCCTGTCTTCCGCAGCGGCGCAGAAGCGTGCGGTGGGCGCTGACTCCCGCCAGTGTCGAGAGAAAGTCGCGTGGGGAGGGACCTGCAGGGGTGCGTGCATGTCGGGGTGCACGGGGTGCCGGGCGGTGAGCGAGGGTCTCTTTTTCTCTGCCTCCCTCTGTCTCCCTCTCTTGCTGCCAGCATGGGATTGGGGGTCCCGAGCAGTGTCCTCCTGGGGTTCCCACGTGCAACATCAACATCAGGAACCCAGCTTCAGGGCATCGTAGAGAGGCTCAGACGGCAGAAAAGAACATTTTTTTCTCTCCAACATATTTTACAATAAAAGCAACTTTTAATCGTATAGATATATATTTCCCCCTATGGGGCCTGACTGCACTGATATATATATATATATATATATATATTTTTTTTTTTTTTAAAAAAGAGCAACTGCCACACGTGGGATTTCGTTTCTGCTTTGCTAGTGCAGTGATGTCGCCAGGGTGTCATGGTGGCCAGGGAAGCCGCCACTCACGTGGCCCCACGAGGGGGGTGGGGGCGGGGTGGGGGAGAATGAATGCCCACTGCTGGTCTCTGTGCAGTGTTAGGAAAACCAATCAGGTTCTTGCATTGACTTCGCTCCCAAGAGGTAGATGCAAACTGCCCTTCAGTGAGAGCAACAGGAGCTCTTCGAGTTGAGTTTGCAAAATCTTTTTGTCTTTTAACTCTAGTACTGTTTATAGTTCATGACTATGGACAACTCTATGGGTGCCACTTTTTTCAGATTCCAGTGTGACATGAGGAATTAGATTTTGAAGATGAGCATATATTACTATCTCTAAGCACTTAAAATGCTGTTCACATTTTATTACCAAGCATCTTGGTCTATCATTCAACAAGTACTGTATCTCACTTTAAACTCTTTGGGAAGAAAAACAACAAACAAAAAAATTGAGTTGCTTTCTTTTTTTCAACACTGTAACTACATTTCAGCTCTGCAGAAGTTGCTCACAAGCAAGATATTGAAAGTTTCAATGTGGTTTAAAGGGATGAATGTGAATTATGAACTAGTATGTGACAATAAATGACCACCAAGTACTACCTGACAGGAGGCACTTTTCACTTTGATGTCTGAGAAAGAGTTAAAGGCATATGCAGAGTTGGCAGAGAAACTGAGAGAAAAGGGACTGAGAAAAGAATACTCATTTTTGTCCAGTGTTTTTCTTTTTAAGATGAACTTTTAAAGAACCTTGCGATTTGCACATCTTGAGTTTATAATTTGTGTGATATTCCTGCAGTTTTTATCCAATAACATTGTGGGAAAGGTTTGGGGGACTGAACGAGCATAAATAAATGTAGCAAAATTACTTTCTAACCTGCCTAAACTCTAGGCCATTTTATAAGGTTATGTTCCTTCAGAATTCATTTTGGTCTTTTTACCACATCTTTCACAAAAAGCCAGGTCTTAGCAGGACAACTCTGAGAATTTTCTTCAGATTCATTGAGAGAGTTTTCCATAAAGACATTTATATATGTGAGCAAGTTTTTTTAAAACAATTATTTTATCATTGTTGTTATTAATGTTATTTTCAGAATGACTATTATTTTTTCTTTTCAAAATCAAATCAAGATTTGATTAATGTTTGGTACAAACCCAGAAAGGGTATTTCATGGTCTAAGCCTTTCATTCCCAGAGATCTGCAATATCTCATTTGTGGGTTTTGAGTGCGTCGTAAAGTGCTTTAAAAAAAGAGTTTTATAAGTAGGGAGAAATTTTTAAATATTCTTACTTGGATGGCTGCAATTAACCTGAACAAATACTTACCTGATTTTCTTTTACCATTGAAAATAGTATTTCTTCCATTTCACAAATTACCAAAAAAAAAAAAAATCTGATATCAATTCACATTTTGGCTAATATTCCTTTGCATTTAGCTGTTGCCAGGACTAAAGATTTTTATAAACCGTTTTCTGGGGTGTACCAAAAACATTTGAATAGGTTTAGAATAGCTAGACTCGTTCCTTGACTTTCCTCAAATTTCATTACCCTCTCAGCATGCTTGCAAACAGCTGGGTGGGCTCACTCTTGCGGTCATACTGCTTATTTAGTGCTGTATTTTTTTAAACGTTTCTGTTCAGAGAACTTGCTTAATCTTCCATATATATTCTGCTCAGGGCACTTGCAATTATTAGGTTCTGTTTTTCTTTTTGTTTTTTAACCTTTGATGGTAAGAGGAATACGGGGCTGCCACATAGACTTTGTTTTCATTAGTACCACTATTTACAACTCATGTGGACTCAGAAAAACACACACCACCTTTTTGGCTTACTTCGAGTATTGAACTGACTGGATCCATTAAGACAACACTAAAATGGGAAAATACATGTGGTTTGGAGCAATAGGAACGTCATCATAATTTTTGTGGTTCTATTTCAGGTATAGGAATTATAAAATAATTGGTTCTTTCTAAACACTTGTCCCATTTCATTCTCTTGCTTTTTTAGCATGTGCAATACTTTCTGTGCCAATTAGAGTCTGACCGGTGTGCTATATAGTTAAAGCTCATTCCCTTTTGGCGATTTCCTTGTTCGCTTGATCCTCCCCGTTCTGGCCAGAGCAGGGCTGGTGGGAAGGAGCCAGGAGGGGAGAGCCTCCTGCCTTTCCCCTGCTGAGGATGCTGAGCGCAGGGCGGGGAGCCTGGAGGAGCCCTGAGTGTCTGCCACCGTGTCCCAGAAAGAGCCAGCCAAGGAGACCTAGGGGAAGAGCCGCGGTGTCCCCTGTCACCACACGGAATAGTGGATGTGGAGTGTGGAGAGGAAGGAGGCAGATTCGTGTCTAAGACGTACTCTGGAGCAATGTAGCCTGGCATCAACCCATTTTCCACGGTCCTTTCTGCACGTGCACAGGCCCGTCCTCAGGGTCTGTGTCCTTGAGACTTTTAGCCCTGCTGCCCAGCGTGGGCAGGAAGTGTAGCCAGTTGTGTGTGTGCATTCTGAGCGTGCTGGCCAGGGGCCGTGGAGGGGACCACCTGCCAACAGCGGTCACCACCCCCTTATGGCAGCTTCCTCTTCGAATAGGAAGAAGGCACAGAGGGCAGGAGCCTCCTCTTGTTTGCAGACGCTGGGGAGCCTTTGTCACCGCTGCGGTGTAGCAAACATGACGATGACAGGGGTAGAAGTCCTTCGGTGCCGTGCAGCTTACAAGTATCAGCCATGTGCCTCTGTACTGTGTCCACTTTGCAATATTTACTGACAGCCGTCTTTTGTTCTTCTTTCTTCCCTGTTTTCCATTTTTAAACTAATAACAGCAGGCCTTTTGCGTTTACAACGGAACACAATCACCAAGAAATTAGTCAGGGCGAAAAGAAAAAAAATAATAATATTATTAATAAGAAACCAACAAACAAGAACCTCTCTTTATAGGGATTTCTAAATATATAAAAATGACTGTTCCTTAGAATGTTTAACTCAAGAATTCTTTCAGTTTGTCTGGGCCACATTGGGGCAGGGGGTGGGGGAGGGAGGGACTCAGAGATGGATGCCACTTACCTCAAATCTGTTAAAGTGGAAATCCAAATTGCATTTTCATTTGGACTTTCAGGATAATTTTCTATGTCGGTCAAATTTTTTTTGTTTTCCCTAACTCACCCAGTTGGGTTTGGGATGATTTGATTTTGTTGTTTGTTGTTGATCCCATTTCTAACTCTGAATTGTGACCCTATGTGTTTTCTGTTAGGTGAGTGTGTTGGGTTTTTTTCCCCCACCAGGAAGTGGCAGCATCCCTCCTTCTCCCCTATAAGGAACTCTGCGGAACCTTTCACACCTCTTACTCAGGGACGGGGCCGGTGTGTGTGTGGTACACTGATGTGTCCAGAAGCAGCACTTTGACTGCTCTGGAGTAGGGTTGTACAATTTCAAGGAATGTTTGGATTTCCTGCATCTTGTGGATTACTCCTTAGATACTGCATAGATTGCAATATAATGCTGCATGTTCAAGACGAACAGTAGCTCCTAGTAATCATAAAATCCACTCTTTGCACATAGTTTGATCTTTACTGAAATATGTTGCCAAAATTTATTTTTATTGTTGTAGCTTTGGATTTTCTTCGTTTTGTTTTGTTGTTGTTTTTTTTTTAAAGGAAACAATTGACAATACCCTTTAACATCTGTGACTACTAAGGAAACCTATTTCTTTCATAGAGAGAAAAATCTCAAATGCTTTTGAAGACACTAATGCCATGCTATTTCAGATGTGGGTGAGGAAGCAGAGCTCTTGGGACCCAAGGCCAGCCTTTTTGAGCTGTGTTGGTTGTCATGGCTACTGTTTCATGAACTGCAAGCAGCTCAACAAACTGGTCTGTTCTCTTCTGAACCCCTTTGCACTTCGATTTCCCAGTCACCCCCGATGATTCCAGGTGAAAACGGGGCCAGCAGACTCCGTGGCCCAATCCAGTTTCTTCGGTGGTGATACAAAAGGAAAGAGAATTATGCTTTTTTTTTTTAAAAGTGGAGTGGAGGCCTTTGCTTCCACATTTGTGTTTTTAACCCAGAATTTCTGAAATAGAGAATTTAAGAACACATCAAGTAATAAATATACAGAGAATATATACTTTTTTATAAAGCACATGCATATGCTATTGTGTTGGGTTGGTTTCCTCTCTTTTCCACGGACAGTGTTGTGTTTCTGTTAATAGGGAAACTCCAAACAACTTGCACACCTCTACTCCGGAGCTGAGATTTCTTTTACATAGATGACCTCGCTTCAAATATGTTACCTTACTGATAGGATCTTTTCTTGTAGCACTATACCTTGTGGGAATTTTTTTTTTCTTTTAAATGTACACCTAATTTGAGAAGCTGAAGAAAAAAATTTTGAAGCACTCACTTTGAGGAGTACAGGTAATGTTTTAAAAAATTGCACAAAAGAAAAATGAATGTCGAGATGATTCATTCAGTGTTTGAAAGATATGGATCTGTTGAAACAGTAAGTTTCATACTTTGTATGTTAGAAAAAAAAAACAAAAAAGCAGATAAGAGTTGAAAGTTACATGTTTTTTTGTATATAGAAATTTGTCATGTCTAAATGATCAGATTTATATGGTTACGGCCTGGAAGATTTACTACGTAAAAGGCTCTTAAACTATACCTATGCTTACTGTTGTTTTTGTTACACATAGCCCTCGTCTGAGGGAGGGGAACTCTGTATTCTGCTATTTGAGAATACTGTTCATTCCTATGCTGAAAGTACTTTTTTGAGCTCCCTTTTTAGTCTAAACTTTTAAGCCATTGCAACTTCTTTTCCTTCAGAGATGATGTTTGACATTTTCAGCACTTCCTGTTCCTATAAACCCAAAGAATATAATCCTGAACACGAAGTGTTTGTTAACAAGGGATCCTAGCTACCAATAAAACAGGACTCATTATGGGGACAAAAAAGAAATTGTTTAGCCTTCTTTCCCTCCACACCTCATTTAAATGGGGGAGGGGTCATGACATGACTTCAATTTAAATGCCTCATTTTATATCAGTTCTGATTTTTCTTTAACATAAGGAGGCCAAAATAAATGCGGAGCAACTTCTCAAAGTAGTATTCCTGTCCAAAAATCATGCCGGACAGTGGAGACTGGACAGCTGTGGGGATAGTTAGCATCCCCACCTACAATTCTTAAATTCAGAATCTCATCCCCTCCCTTCCCGTTAAATGCAATTGTTCTGGTAGCTAACATTTACCTGTATAATGGCGGTAGGGAACAGTGGCTTCAGTTTTTCATGTCCCCATGACTTGCATACAAATGGTTCAACTGTATTAAAATTAAGTGCATTTGGCCAATAGGTAGTATCTCTACAATAACAGTCTCTAAGAATTTCCATAACTTCTCTTATCTGAAAGGACTCAAGTCTTCCACTGCAGATAAATTGGAGACTTCACCCACTCACCCGCCTTCTCTCTTTCTTTAGTTTGTTTGTTTGCTGTCTGGATGGCCAATGAGCCTGTCTCCTTTTACCGTGGCCAATCTGAAGGCTTTCCTTGGAAGCGTTGTTTACAGTAATCCTTACCGAGATAACATACTGTCCTCCAGAATTACGAAGTCTGAGGTGACACTAACTTAGAGCTGTTGTTGTTGAAGAGCAGTTACCAAGAAGCTAGGTGCATAGGTTTTCTCTGGTTCTTACGTGAACCACCTACTCTTTTAAGTTATTATCTGGTCCGGGAGTGGGGTAAATTGTTTAGTCAGTGAATCTTAAACTTGATACCTGTGCATTCAGTTCTGTGAATACTGCCCTTTTCGGCCGGGTTTCTTCCTCCCCAGCCTGCACTGCTCAACCGTCAACCCAAATTAGTGTCAGCTGAAAGGAGGTTTCAATACAGTCCTGTCAGTATTTGTGGTGGCCTTCGGATTAGACAGAGCCCTCATTTCTAGTCAGTGGGGTCCTGGCCCCAGAGCCATCTCTGAGACTCGCACCACGGGGTATTTTACTATCAGATCATTACCCACCAAACTTCCGATCGTACACCTCCCACAAGGAAAACAGACACCAGAGCTTGGGTTGTGGGCACTACCAGACTGACATGGCCAGTACAGAGAACTAGGGAAGGAATGATGTTTTGCACCTTATTGAAAAGAAAATTTTAAGTGCATACATAGTTAAGAGCTTTTATGGTGACAGGAGAACTTTTTTCCATATGCGTGCATACTCTCTGTAATTCCAGTGTAAAATATTGTACTTGCACTAGCTTTTTTAAAACAAATATTAAAAAAAAAATGGAAGAATTCATATTCTATTTTCTAATCGTGGTGTGTCTATTTGTAGGATACACTCGAGTCTGTTTATTGAATTTTATGGTCCCTTTCTTTGATGGTGCTTGCAGGTTTTCTAGGTAGAAATTATTTCATTATTATAATAAAACAATGTTTGATTCAAAATTTGAACAAAATTGTTTTAAATAAATTGTCTGTATACCAGTACAAGTTTATTGTTTCAGTATACTCGTACTAATAAAATAACAGTGCCAATTGCAAACGTCTGTCTTTGCCTTTTGTCAGTTCTTCAAAAAGACGAGGCTGAGAAAATGGTCCTAATTCTTACCTCCTTCTTAATTTAACCCTGATATGACCTCAGTTCTCCCTGGGTAGGTCAGTAGCTGTGGAAGTGACATGATCTATTGCCTCCCCTACCAACTTTTTTTGGGGGGTTGGGGGAGAAAGTGTGCTTGAGATGATGTTCTAAGATAAAAGGCACACATCTGATGTCTTGTTTGGTTCGTGTTTACATTTCCTATCTGAACACTCCTGTTCCTACAAGAGGTATTTGTTTGTAAACATTTGTCAGCTTCATGGGCTCACGTGGCATAATCATTGCATCCTCTGTAGCAGGGGTCCTCAAACTTTTTAAACGGGGCCAGTTCACTGTCCCTCAGACCGTTGGAGGGCCGGACTATAGTTAAAAAAAAACTATGAACAAATTCCTATGCACACGGCACATATCTTATTTTGAAGTAAAAAAACAAACGGGCAAAAACACCCGCATGTGGCCCAAGGGCCTTAGTTTGAGGACGCCTGCTCTATAGTTTCCTTGTAAACTGGTTAACGGTCTGAAAGTAGGAAATTCATTTGTTTCCTGTAGCTCGTGCTTGCTAGAAACTCAATGAGCTCTCCTGGCAAGTGGAGGAGCCCCCGTGTTTGTCTCAGAAGTACTGCACTGTAGTTTTCAGTGGGCCCACCTTGTTGCAAAGATGCGGCTTCACAGAAAGTAGTTCCTCGAGGACCCATGACTTTTTGGGTGGATCACCTGGGTGCCCATCTCAAGTCTTTCCAGCCATAAGGTTACACAGACATGGGAGAGAGCTCTTGGGTTAAATTCAGAGTTTTCACTTCATCCAAGGAGGAATGAGAACTCTTTTCCTTTTACTATCTTCTTGGTTAGGGGTTTTGGGGACATCCAACTAAGACTGTCATCTTACAAGACTTAAGAGTTGAGGTCCTAGGCCGGGCGCGGTGGCTCACGCCTGTAATCCTAACACTCTGGGAGGCCGAGGCGGGCGGATCGCTCAAGGTCAGGTGTTCGAAACCAGCCTGAGCAAGAGTGAGACCCCCGTCTCTACTAAAAAAATAGAAAGAAATTAATTGGCCAACTAAAAATATATAGAAAAAATTAGCCAGGCATGCCTGTAGTCCCAGCTACTTGGGAGGCTGAGGCAGGACGATCGCTTGAGCCCAGGAGTTTGAGGTTGCTGTGAGCTAGGCTGATGCCACGGCACTCTAGCCCGGGCAACAGAGTTAGGCTGTGTCTCAAAAAAGAAAAAAAGAGTTGAGGTCCTGACACATCATATAAAGTGTGCAAAAGAATTGGCCAATTAGGTAAGAAGGGTGTCCCGGGTCCTCCCCCAGAGTACCCTGGGCAAACGGGCCAGCCTGGTGATGCAGTCTGAGTCTCTGCCTTCCCTTTTTGTTTTCATGAGATGCCGACGGTTCTGTCTAGTGGCTGTGATACTTGCCTCACACAGAGCAGCCCACGGTGAATCGCATTGCATTCCCTGGCTCCTTCCCCTCCCACCAGCATAGCAAGCCCAGTGGGTCAGCAGCAAAGATGTGTGTGTCATCTCAGGATCCCATTGGGATTCCTGGTCTGAGGGACACTCCAGTGTGGGCTCCCCAGGTCCATTCCTACTGCAGGCAGAGATGAACTTGCAGAGGCCAAAGTAACAGAGACTTGGAAGGTCTTCTCTTTACGAAACCTTTGCTTCCAGATGATCCTGAGGAGCTTTGGGCTTTGTAATAACTCAGTCTCCACTTCCCTAAAAACTAGACTGCAAGGGACCTGCCTTTAGTTTGTGAAAACACAAGAGCTACTCTGCAAACACTTTACACCACAGAGACAAAGCAGCACGTGTCCCTGCAGGGAGCGTAGCCCTAGGGGCGCCAGAGTGGGCACATGGGTGTCACCCTCCCTGATCATTCAGCATAGAACGGTTCTAACTTGTATTTTAAGCCAATGCCTTCTAGAGTGCGACTGGTGAAAGCTTTTGTTGTTTTTCAGTGGTACTGCACCTGCTAATTTCTTGGTAGATAACCTTTCAATAAAACATCCTGTGGAATTTCAAAACAATTTATAACCTCTTTAAGAAAGGCCATCCTGACAAGTTGTACTGAGAAGGGAAGGAAAAGAAAACGAAATGAAAAGCCAGGACAGGGACAGCTTCCTAGCAGTAGCAGCAAATTGGTAGCAAGAGATGACTTGTTCCCAAAACACATGTGCAGTAAAAGTTTCAGTGAAAACACATCCCCACGACCTCGTGAGCCTAAGCTGGGAAGATAATTCATGTCCATCTGAACAGTCAATTGCTCTTGTCTTTTCTGGCAACCAAAAGCTGGAGGGAGGGATGCCAGTCACTCCCACTCTGGCTTCTTTCCACCCACCCCCTCTGCCCCTCCCCCCTCCCAAGGTGACTTGTCTGCTAACAGCCAGACCTGGCTCACCACTGGCCTGTCCAAGAAGGCAAAGAAGTCCCTGAGCACCCTATGCAACGTGGATCCTGCAAATGCAAACTCCAGCACTCAATCAAGTCTTAAGGTAATAGCATTATATTAAAGTGAAACCGTTTTCTTTTAAAATAGAAAGAAAAAGAGAGGGAGGAAGAAAAAGAAAGAAAAAGCTGCAAGTGTTGGTTTTAACAATGGGGTTATGAGTTCTAGGCGGCTGGGCTCTGACCGCTGGCCCCATCTTCTGGGCCCCAAGAAGGCACGAGGGAGAGCCCCAAAGCCTCCAGGTGCAGGAGGGAGGAGAAGGATGCAGCATGCCACCGTTCGGAGCAGCCAGACCAGAGGGAGATGGGAAAAGCAGGTGTGCGTGGGAGCGCCCACTCGAGCCAGACGTCACTTCCTCTCATCCTCGGGGTCAGCTGAACACGGTGTTGTGCTGTTGGGTCACCCGGATGAACGTTGCCCTCCTGCTGAGCTCTTTGAGTTTGGCGGCCCCCACATAGGTGCAGGTAGACCTCAGTCCTCCGAGAATATCCAGAATGGTGTGCTCTACGTCCCCTTTGTACGGGACTTCCACAGTCTTACCCTCAGAGGCTCTGGAAGAAAAAGGAAGTTTTCTTTTTATCCAGTTTCTTTTCCCTTGCTAAAACCCAGCTAGAATCACTCCGAGCTATAGCACTTTGAACAGCCCCCGAGGCGCTCAGATCCCTAGATGCCATTCCTACATCTCTTCTACCAGGTGCCAGCCCCTCAGACGGACACGTTCCTCCCACTCTAAGGACACGGGCTCACCGCTGGCTGCCCTGCACACGGGGAACAGCAAAGGCTTAGTTAGCAAGGAGTGAAGGAGCCGCAGGCCCACACCATCCTGCACTGTGACGTTTTCTTCAGCAATGTGCCTCCACTCTGCCCCATCAGAAAGCAGCTCCACCCAAGGATGGACACCAACCTCCAAATGACAAAGCGCCCAGGACGGCCCAGGATGCCCACTGGGGAAAAGCAGACTTGGCAGATGACCTCTGGCAACCACCTCCTGCCGCTATCCGCTTGCCCTCCTGCATCCAACAACCAAAAAAGCCCAGACAGAGCTCCACCCCCTGGCGTGCCAGCTCTATGATCAGAAACCAAGCGTCTTCAAAGAGGCAACCAGGAGAAGAGGAGGACATAAAGTAGACAACTCAAGCCCTACTAGGTTACGTGGAAACCACCAGCAAGATGCAATGGCTCCACTCGGACAGCTGCCTGTCTTCGGGGGCACACCCCCCCAATCTCGCCTCGCGCCCCCCTCCCCGGGCATGGTGGGAGGTCCGAGCAAGGTAGAACCAGAGTAGAATCAAGAACTGTCTTAGCAGGGGAGGCTGCAGGGCTTTGGAAAGCATCTTTTGCATTTTCAGAAGAGCATTTAGAAATTCAGGTCTAAGTCACATCTGAGTTGCTGTTAAGCCCCTGACCTTGCTTCACAAGTAACACAGCTTCATTCTACACGTCAGGGCCCCTTCCTGCAAAACAGTGACACAGTCCAGACTGCATTATAAGAAGAAAAACTATTATAAGAAGGGCCATTACAAGAAGGAAGTCTGAAAGCTATGCCACACTCTAGTTCTCATTGAAGGGCCAGGCAGATACCAAATTCTAGAACTTTTGTAGCTGTTCTCATCAACTGGAAAAATAGCATCCCTTGATCAGACACTCATTACCTAGAATTTCACAAGGGTGTTAACGCTTGTTTGCTGAATGTGTAAGACTATATCTGTGGGTGAAATCTAGCTACTTAAGCCATTGGCCGGATGCAGGGCTGGCCCAGCAGCTGGTTTAGAGTCCCAAGCTCAGGAAGCCAAAGTCACTGGCCACACCCAGGATGGTTCAGGGCATGACATTCTATAACCAGAGACAGGCATCTGTGCACATGTGCCTGCAATGATTGACATCTCATTATCATAAGACATTTCCATGGTCTTCCTGGGGGCTTGCTGGAAATTATCCAGTTTCTCATCATAGTATCTCTGCCCACTGGTGATATCACCCTTTCCAAGTCATTTATTGTTGATGCTTAAGTCTGCTCATCCGTAAAATGAAGGTCCTTTGATCTGCCTCCCAGGGACAGCACAAGAACGAAATAGTTAACGATTGGGATTAACTGGCAAAGCATAAGTAACTAGGCCATAATTAAATATAATGTCAAAGTAGGGAATCATTCTCGTGACAAGATCATGGTCATGAGGCTGCCAACTGCCACAGAGGCAGGGCAGATGCAGCCTGCAGGACTCAGGATTCCTTTGGATTAGGGTTCTAATTTCCTTAGCACTTTCCTTCCTTGTCTAAGATTTGAATCCATTTCCAGAACTGAGTCTTGATACTCCTGAATCTTTTTTTTTTTTTTTTGGTTGTTGTTATGTCTACACCCCGCTGAAATTGCAGGAGATGATTTTTTTTTTTTTCCTCCGTGGCTTCTGTTTGTGCCCTAGCCTGGTCTGGCCTTCCCAAGCTACAATTTTTCTTAGAACCCAAAACAGAGGCAACAGCCAGAGGGCAAAAAATGTC